AATTATGACGGATTCCGGTTATTTCTTTTCCGTCGGAAATCCGTCAGTATTTCCGACGGAATTCCGACAGAATTTTATTTCCGACGAGATAGAACCGACCGGTCAAAACCGTCGGAAAACCGTCGGAATAAGCCCTATTCCGACGGCTTTCCGACGGTTTTCACCGTCGGAAATTTGCCTGTTTTCTTGTAGTGACATCTAAATCATATGAATGATTCTTCTATAAACACTATGGGTGAGCATCTGGACCAATTCTAAACCGAGCTTTAAGAAACTGAAAACTGGATACATCAATCAATAACAGATAACAAAGAGAAGAACATAATATAGATATCTTTCTTTGTCAAGGGGATGGCTTCAGGAGAGAAGAAACCTGCCGAAATTTCACAACAAACTTATCGATGAATACACATTCTTTAATCTTAAGGATCTGGAAATAGTTCAAATCTTCTTTCTTCACAAACTCTTTAGAAAGAAGCTCAGAGATCACCATGTTCCTTGGTTTGATCCTCTTCTCCAAACTCAGACCCAAAACAAACGGTTGCATAGCAATGGCATGGGGCTGAAGACCGACATTGTTCACGAGGTAATTCATGGTTCCCTTAATCTTCTCATCCGATATCTTCACACAGTTTGGGAATCTCATGATAGCTGCCACGAAATCGCCTTTGGACCAACCAAATTGTTGGAACAGCTCAAACTTTTGTTCCACACGGGATTCACTAACATGAAAGAAAACCAACGTAGCATGTATAAATCAGACAAAAAGAGAGTTACGTGGGATTAGAAATGGACAATCTATTGCAGTAAACTACAAGTTTCAGTGTCTATCATCATAAGCTGCTTCAGCTTTTACCATCACGGCATCACCTTCAGGTATACATTGCCTCTTCAGGTATACATTGCCTGCTGCAACGTAACAACTCGACGGTTTAGTATCACCAGATCAATATAACCACTATCTGTAAAAAACATCGCAAGTATAACAAGCTTGACATGAATTATCATCCATTCGGCCCATTTTAAACTTAAGGAAAACTAGATCTTCTCTACCAAGAATCCTAACACTGTAGTTAACATCCATACAAACAAACTGTTAAACAATTCAGTATAATAATGATTATTGAACATCTA